TCTCAGTAGACACAGCGAAGCAACCAAAACAAACGTGAATGGACCATGTTGGCTCGCCATATCCACGACTATATTGAATCCTTACAAGACCAACCGGTGGAGGTCCACATTGAGCGCTCCCAGGCCATCATTAGCTATCCCGACGGTATATACTCGCTCTTATGGTGGGTTGAACCCTCTTGATAATCAGTTCCCTTGCCGAGTCGATATATGTTTCAGTCAAAATCGACGAGCTGCTCAACTTCTTTGCTGCGTCGCGGCCACTGGCGAATAAGCTTGGACCCAACCACTATACTGGCCATTACCTACTTCACCCGTCACACCACGAAAATGCAAAATCCGAGTAGATGATAGGAACCCAGTGTAGGTGTATGCAACACTTGGCGTGGATGGTGTAACAATGGGGGAGCCATGACCGCCGTTGTCCCACGGCTCTGCTTACCATCACACTATTCCGCCACATCCTCCACGTCTAATTTGTATCTGGATGCACAAAAGATAAGGTTGACGCAGCTAGGAGGGCTTGGAAAGTAGTGCCGCTGGTTTTTAACTTCCAAATGTTCTAGAATGACCTTGCGCCCGTCTTCACTTTAGGGACCAATTGAGAAGATGAGGCAGATTGCATGTAAGAGCTACTTACCTCCTCGGCTAATCTCTTTGTATCACCAAGTTGCTGACATTCATTCCCTTCCGGCGTTACTTTTCCAAAGCGACACCAAATCACCAGGTCTCTTTCTTATCTCGATCGACCCCTTCAATCTCAATTCGTTTGCCCATATATAACCAAATCGTGCAAGACAATAAGCCACATTTCCTGTGATGTCAATTCGGCTGTCCTTCCAAAAAAGGAATGACAGTATCGCATTCCATCACAGACAAGGTGGCTCGTGAAACTCGAGTGCAGCCAACCCGCTATATCGACCTCGAAGCACAACCAAATTTCCTACTTGGAACGGCAACATGACTGGTCCTTATTACTTGCTCGGTGAGATGTTCTTCCAAAGTGGCGGGACGGTTTGCTGAACCGTAAGCATGACCGCTAATTCGATGGGCTAATGGCACCTCGCGTAGCTTCCAGGAGAATCCTGATCGCTTCTGCACTCTCTCTGTTAGGTTCGGCCATCGCTATGATGTCACTGTCTCGAAAATAGAGTTCAGAGTCTGGGCCATCCACCACTGTGTTGGCTACATTCTTGCCGAAAGCCAAGACTCGAGAGCCGTCTACTTTGACATTGCCTCCTGTGACCACAATGCCACGAACATGACCTTCGAGAGAGGTTGAGGGGGATATACGCCCATTGGTTTTGGAAGTACCTGTTTCTGTACGCCAAGACTTCTGATTATCCAGGGATTGTGTCCACTGTTCTCCCATAGTATTGCACATATCCACAGACTGTACTATTTTCTTCTCTGTGATATAATGAGCGAGTTCCTATAAAAGCCAAATATCTAACCTTTCTGTGAATAACGTCCAAGGTTCGCCCTACTGTCCTAAAAAGGAGAGTGAAGCATTAAAATACCGTTAGCCAGAGTCATCTTGACCTGTCATCAGGAAACAGAAGCATCATACCCCGGTGTTTTGCCCTTGTGCCACGACTACTTCACGAGTTTCGACAACATGGCTTTGAATTTGTATAGTCAAGTTGGCCTGTATGTCTCAGTTAACCATGCCACTGTATCAAATAAAGTAACTCACGGTCATGATCCTGTGAGCTTGTTCCAAGGCTCTATCTGCATCCCTAATCTCCTCGGAAATCCGGCGAGAGGCCCAAAAGACCCTCTTATTCTTTTGTTTGCAAGCAATTTCGCTCATTTTAGCGGATATATCCTCTATGCTCCTGATTATAAGAGATTTTAGCCTTAAATAAGGCAGAAATTTTTTACCTACTGCACAGATCGTGTGACAATATCGGTCAAAAGTTCATTTCCGTTTAGTATTTCTACTTGGTGAACGATAGAATCAATATAGTCGTGGATATGGCGAGCCAACATGGTCCATTCACGTTTGTTTTGGTTGCTTCGCTGTGTCTACTGAGA